AAAAAAAAAACGAAAAAATTCGCATTTCAGATAATAAATAAGCTTATTTTATAAGGAACATTCTTCAGAGATCTGGCAAAAGATTAAGGCGATAGAGATCTCCGCGAACCGCGGCTTAGATTTTTAACTTCACAAAAATTATCAGAACATTAAATTAGCAATTTAGCACACCCTTTTCGTGATTTCAATAAACATTTCTAATTTAGCAAGCAGCTGCTTGATATTCTGCATCAACGATTACAAGAGAAATGACTGGCGTCTGAATAGGTGACGCGCGTAGAGATCCGGATGAAGACACAGTAATCTTAAAAGGAGACAGTTTGATATAGATGCACCTGGCGTATGACTACATTCGCGTAATATTTATTTTTTAAACCGATTTTCCGAGCGGCACTGGAAATTCTGACAATTTTCAGATTTCCTCCGTCAAAATATTATACCTTCCGGAGCTGAATTAATCGCAGTTGATTCAGGTGCAACGAACCCCTCCATTTGATTAAAACAGCTTTTACCGCCAAATTTAAGATAAGTAATGAAAAAGGATGCATTTGTCCCGAATGCTCCTTTTACTTTCACATTACAAACAAATAAACACTTCGACAATGAGCCCAGAAAGATGGGTTACAGCAAAGATGCAACAACTGTACCATTGCAAACTTTGATTAAAAAAAAAAAAAAAACGAAATTCCCGTCAGAAATGAATAAAGCTTGAATGATAGTGCTTTCCCACATTTGTTATTAACTGGTAAAGCTTTCAAAGACACTCTTTTTCAAAAACTGCTCAGATGCAGTCCGCTGGTCTATTGCCTAACACACAATCCATATAAATCAGCTATGACTGTTTTTTTTTAGTTTTGAACCATCAATTTCAACCTCATAGTAGCACTACTTGTTGGCACTTCAACACAACAAAGAAAAACCAGTAGCAATAAATAGGAAATTAAAAAAGAAAAAAAAAACGTGAGTATCAAAAAAGGGTCGCAACTTGTGTAATCTACCATTTTAGCAAACAAAAACTAACAACATGTACTGCTAGCGACTGAGATGATTAAATAAAAAGTAAGACAAAAAATGAAGCCTTTGTTCATCTCGAAAAAAACGCAAATGCCATGCGGGCTGAACCGTCATTTACAGAAATGGGCACCAACCAATGTACATTCGGGCAAGATTCATTTCATCCCGTGCAATATCAATCAACTTGCCCACTTGCCCTTCCACACTCATCGGCGGATTGTTCGTTGCAGTCCGGAAAAGTTTTGGCGTTATAATGTGACCTATAAATCGCTAGATTAGATTTACAAACAAAAAAAAAAAAGAACTGTTAAATGGACTGGAAAAACCTGAGCCAGTAGAAGCCCGGTAAATAGCTTTAAGGGAATAATGGATGTATGCCGGACAAAGTCAACTTTCGCCTCTTACAGTGTATCAATTTTCAGAACTTACAGAGGCAACCGGGTATAGCTATGCTACAAAATTTTTATGCTCTTTTTGCAGCTATGCAATGCAGAAAACGCATATTGACGAGGGCTTGTCTGTGTGTTCGTCTGTACCGATTTTTCATCTCGAGCCGGGCAAAAGCAACTGGACTGAAACTTTGAGGACATAATCTACATGCACGTACGGGCCCCCATCCCCGAAACGAGCGGTCTTACCCGCGTGGTACCCATGTAACAGCCTCCCAAGTTTTTCACGGATAAGTTGATAATTCACGAACCAGAAAAGCCAGAAAGCTGAAATTTTAAGATGTTCCCCGCCCACATTAGTCTCAACGAGCTCAAACACAGCCCTCGGTCACGCGTGGCACCTACGCACGAGTTCACCAAAGTTTTCCTCGGGTAAGTTCATAACTCGAGAACCTGAAAAGCTAGAAGACTGTAGTTTTAAGAAGATGCTCCCCGTCCAACTAAGTCTCAATGAGCTCAAACCCAGACATCGGGTATGCGTGGTGCCCGCGTGCGGGCCCGTGGAAGTTTTTTTCCAGTAAGTTGCTAACTCAGGAGCCAGGAAAACTAGAAAGCTGAAATTTTATGGGG